TAAAATAAAATAAAAAACTGATAAAAAAGCTAATAAAAATAAACAAAGTGTACGTGTATAAGCGTCGTCAAATTTACTATCAACAGCTTTATGAAAATATTTAATCATTGTCTCCTTTTCCTTTTCTACTATATTAATATTTTATTTACCGGTATTACACCGATATCATACCGGTATCAAACATATCTACCGATTTAACATCGTTATACCGGTATTCGCATTATTTCGGTTTCATCAAACCGAAATCGAATAGTAACCTAAAAATACCGGTATCCATAATACCAATTCGGTCTCTGGTTATAACTACTCGCTAGGCTGGACGGTTATCCCCCACCCAATCCTAGCGGTGTTCCGCACTCTGCTTAACATCGAATATCGCTAGACTTCGATGCTAGGCGCACAGCAACTTGCGGCTTGTACAAGTCGGTATTCGAAACTCGTACTCGAGGAACTAAAGGTCGCTACACTTCTATCAGCACACAGGCCATCTGTTATAATTAAACATAACTAAAAATATAACTACAGATTATAATAATCGATACTATACTCAGCCATCCTGACCTCAGATGTTTTCGCAGTCACTGTCGCTATCTTCGGACTCCCCATCCTACCATCTCCATCGTTAATCCAAGGTTTCAGGTGATCTATTGCTGTAGAGATCGTCTGTGGTCCTTCGTGCTCACCAATTTTTTGCACTATGTATCGATCATTCCGTAGTATGATTGTCACACGGTAAGGTCCGAGAGACTTCAATAAATATATGTTATATCAATAAATAAATATATGATATCAATAAATATATGTTATATATATATATAGTATGTTGTTATATATACTATATATAGTATATATACGCTATATGCGCTATTTTTAAGAACAATATTCACGTCTATTCCTCTAACTTAATTTAACATAATGTAAAATTTTGAACTGTTATTTATAGCATACAAATCGCTCTTTCCAACTTTCTAGCTTCCCAGGTAATTTGGGCAAATATTTTTGTTTAACAAAACTGACTAGTCTAGATGAATTTAATAGTACGTAATAATATAAATGTTCAATAATTTTCATTGCTATCTAACTATAATTTTACAGTGGGCAAAAACTCATCGTCTTCTTCGCGTAAAAGTGATTGGTTTCAGTTATAGTTGATGATGTCTGCTTGTCGCAATCCTGTATGTCCATATTTCCTGTAAAATAATTTCTTCAATCCTGTAAAATAATTTCTCTCTTTGGTTCTGGGAAATTTTCATTATGTCTCTTCCCGTTGCTTTGTAATAGCGAACAGCATTGTTCTTTGTCATGTTCTTTGGAAGATTTTCTGTTTTCTTTCGTAGATTTTCGTTCCGTGATTCACGTAACAATTTAATTTTTGCAAAAGCAACAATAAGGCATGGAATCACAGAGTGCATGCTTCAGTTTGGTAGTCAATGGCCATCTTTAAGTGATGTAGCCCTTAACAATTCCAATTTTTGCTCATGAAGTTGTACCTTGCATTCGACTAAAATTTCTTTAACTTTTTTTAACAAGCCCATTTCATAATTTGGCGATACTGGTCGACTGATATGGTTAACTTTAACGTTACAACTAGTTCGTATTCTTGGAGGTCTCTTGCAGTTCGCAAAATGAAAAAAATCATGACAGAAGAATAAGTTTAGAAACATAATGGATGTTTGTATCTAATATGCATTTTTTTGTTGCAGTCTCAGTTTTTCGATGAAAAAGATGCATTTATTAAAAAAATAATTTACTATTTATACATACATAGTACACAATAGACTTATTAGATTTTTCGATACTTAAAATAATTGCTATGTACTCTAAACATTTTTTGTTAATAGCTTTTTAATAAAATACGAGTGATGGCTAAAACCTCTTGAATGTTACTGAGGAGAGCGTTCTTGATAGAATATGTGAAGTCTTAATGCCGCCTTTAAACATAAGTTTTTTCTTTATTTGAAATTTTATACATGCAAAGTAGTGAATTTCTGGTGTATTTCAAATAATTTTTCATAAAATATATAAATGAAAGCTTGTGTACTCAAAAGTGTATTACAAAAACTTTCTATTTTTTTATTTAAATGTTTCTGATTGAAATTTTACTACCATCATATTTATATTTTGCTAGTTAAATACAAAATAAACAGTGTATTACCAACGATAAAACAGGGAAATGGTTTTTTCTCTAATAACTAAAATATCGAACACAAAATATTTAGACAGATTGGAGTATCGTAATAATTTACATCGAAATTGCTTGCGATATAAGAAAATGTCTCAAGGTGAAAAAAGAATGGTAACAAGATTAGATGTTATTATNTTCTATATACAATAACGAATTGTGTCAATCAACGTATTGCGTTAAAGGTCGTGAAATTATTGTTGTTCCACTTTATTTAAAAGTATTTCGAGTTATATATCTTAATTTTAAAAGAATATTTTCCCGTTTAATCATCAAAACACGCTGTTTATTTTATATCCAATTGTAAAATATAGATATATTGATAATAAAACTAATGTGAGAGTTAATGAAATTCTAAGAAATCTTTCCAAAAGAAAGGATTATTTGCACTTCATAGTTTCTTTGACAACTTTAGTTCATAGTCTCTTTGACAAGTAATAAACAGAATACAATGCAATCACAAAAATTGAAATCTTGAAATTCAAACTTAAAATTAGTTGGTAATTCAAACTCAAAATTAGTTCTGTGGTAATTCTTTTAGACAAATCTCGACCAATCCAGAAATTTAGCATCACGCTATGGTGATCATGATATTGTGATAATTTTGATCATACTCTACATGTATATGTATAATGAATAGCATAACTGAAGTAATAAACATAGATATAATGAATAATTGTCGATATTTTAAACTGTTATAACAGTTGTAATTTTGTAAAAAAGAACCATATAACAATTATCTTGACTTAACTTGCTCAAACTTAGATGGAGTTTTACACCAGTTTACATTTTCATTTTCTCTACTTTGATAGTTCTGAGTTCGTCTTTCTTAAAGATTTCATCGTATGATAAGTGGGAAAGTGAACATACCTCTATTTTCCAAAATTGTAAAAATTTAAATGTCTTTAATAAATTTTTTTTAACCCATTGTTATCTTAAAGATTGATGTTCTCCTTCTGAAATATGGCGTACAATTTTTTTTACTGATTTTATTAAACTTTGAATGTTATAGTCAGACAATGAAATGTCGAAGTTTCTTGAATTTTTGTAGTTTAACCTTCAAGATTTTGATGAGTCTAATCATCATAGTCTTTTCAATGTTGTTAAAAACGCTTGAGTTTCTACAGTTTTCAGAAATAAAATAGATGTTTGGGTGAGAAAATTCCCAACCATTCTTCTCTCACTCCAAAATCTTTAAAAAAACAATCTCAGGATTGTGAAAATTGTGCTTGCTTCAAAATGAGACCAAATGGATTTTTGTATGATTTTTTCTTACGAAATTATAATAGTTTAAAATTTCACCATTATTGATTCAGTTATGCCATTCACTTTATATTCTTTAATTTAATTTAATGCTTAATTTAACTCGTTTTATATAACGAGTAATTTAATATATTTTGTAAGCATGCCAGCAACTTTGCCTTATAAAACTTAATGAGTCCGGCTTTCTTTGACGCACTTAGTGTCTATTATAAACATTATAGTAATTCAATTACAAATGGAATTATTCTTACAATCTGTAATTCAAAGCTCTAAACGACAATTTTACATAATAAATATTTGCGTAATTTTATTTTTTATAGCAAATTATTGATTATAATAAATTCGAAAATTCGATAAACTGTCAGGTGGAAGCCAAGCTTGCCTGTTTCATTATATATTACTATAAATTTTTAAATTTAAATGAATTTAGAAACCTAAATTATATAGACAGAACTTAGAAAGAACTTTGATATTTACAGTTTATACACCGTATGCGTTTCTCCTCATATAAAGCATAACTTATTATTGGTACTTATTATTGGTACGTATATCAAGGAGGTCAAAACTGTTAAGAAATGCGCCTTTGTTAGTTATCATTTCCAAGTTAAGAAAACATGTCTCTTG